TGCCCTGCTGTCACCCAGACAAAGAGCTGCTCTTCCACCTCATCCTCACCAGGACAAGCAGCCCGCAGGATCAGTGTGTACAGGTTCACCCGGTGGGCATTGAGCTCTGCACCAGCACGCAGTGTCACCTGCCATGGGGACAGTCACTCAGCAGGGTGCCTGCCAGCTCCTGCTCTACTCCCTATTCCCCAGCCACACCTCTGCCTGGAACCTGGTGGCATCCGTGGGGTCAGAGCTGATGGCAATGGAGTTGAAGGGGTGGTCGGGCTTGATACTATCCAGGGTGACATTGGGACTGCTGCTTGAGTTGCTGCAGGACACGGTCACCTCAGCGACGCGAGTGCCTGACACTGCATCCTCACTCAGGGCCACCACACGTGGCAAGTCAGGCAGGACTGGTGGAAGACCCCAGGGATCACTGATGGCTCATCCAGCTGTGCAGGAGCCCTGCCCCTGCACCTAAGCACTAATGCAGGCACAGGTTTCCCTGCCAGGCACAGCCGGGTCCAAAGCACTGCTGTTACCTGTTGTTCTGACGAAAGTCCCTGAAAAGAGGAGAGTGTCACTGCAGCCTGCCAGGTGTGCCCTGGCAATGCCCTGGGGAGGCCCCAGAATTCCCTCTGTGAGATGCTCTGATGAAACCCCAGTGGTGTTTGCATATGCCACAGCGATGCACAAAAGGAGCCCCAGTAACATCCTGGCAATGCTGAGGACACCCTGAGGACACCCAGGCAATGCCCTGGGCATGCTCGTGTGGTGCCCCCTCCCCGCCTCAACCCAGCCAGGCAGCTGCCAATCCCTCTGCTGATCCCAGGGTCAGCCCCAGGAACGTGGGAGCAACCGAGGAGAGCTTCTCCCCTGTCCCCTTCCTCTCAGCCATCCACCCGGGGTCTGGCAAAGAGTGCCCCGAACACTGCGACCTTGAAGCACCTACCCGGGGCATAGAGGCTGAGGAGGAGGAAGGTGAGGTGTCCGTGCATGCCCATGGCTCTCTGTGTTTGGGACAAGCTGCAGCCGGTTGCCAGGGGTGCTGGGCACCACCCCGGCCCGGCGTCATGCCGTCCATCCCCACCCGTGGTGGCCGCCCTGGCCAGGGGAGGGCCAGGGCAGGGCTCCATGCCCCGGCTCTGCACGCCGCCGCTCCCAGCCCCTCGCAGCTCCGTGGGGTTTGGCTGCCACCCCACGCTGCTTCATCACGCGGCACGCTCGGGAACCGGGAAAATTAGCTAGGAGGTAATTTCTGGCCTTGTTCTCGTTCATTTGCAAACCAGTGCCGCTTCTCCCGGGATCCCCATTAAGCGCTATTAGTTCCCAATTAACGGGCACCACGGCCAGGGTCGCTCTTCCCTTCCTTCCTCCAGCGCCCAGCCCGGCTCTGGCAGCCCGGTGGAGCGGGGTGCCGACGGGAGATGCCTCCGCCGGGGCTCTGTACCGGGGCTGCCCTCCTTGCCGGCGGAGCATACCGAGCTGTGGGACCCCCGGTGCCCGAGGTGCTGCCGGCCGGGACACGGATCTCGCCCGGCCCGGCGGTGCCCGGGTGGTGCCCGGCGCGGGGCCCCGGGGCGGCGGGGAGGGGTCCGTGGGCGGGGCGGGGCCCCGGGGCGGCGGTGCCGGTGCGGGCCGGGCTCACGTTACGGCGGCCCCATTGGCCGGGGCGGGGCGGGGCGGGGCCGCCGGGCAGCGCCGGGAGGCGGCGGGCACGGCCGGGCGCTCCGTCCGCTGTCGCTGCTGCTGCTGCTCCGCCACCGCCACCGGCGGCTCTGGGAGCGGGGCCGGGAGCGGCGCCGGGGGAGCAGGACCGGGCATGCACAACGCCCGCTCACACGAGCTCGGCGCCGACCGGGTGAGTGTCGCCGCGGGCACCGGGAGGGAACGGGACCACCGTGCCCCAGCCCCGCCGCTCGGGGACTGCGGGACTGCCGTGACGTACGGGCGCTGCCGGTGACACGAAAGCCGTGACATTACACGTGAGGTCAAAGGCGGCGCGGGGGACGTGTGCGCTCGGTGGGACTCTGGTGGTGTGGGGGCACGGGTGTCCAGCTGTCAAGGTGCCAGCGGCGCCGTCCCCCCGGAGCTGCCACCCTGCCACCCACCTAGGCTGCTCCGAGGGACGGCGGTGACGGGGTGACCCTTCGGCTCTCCTGGGCCTGCCACATGATTACCCAGCGCCTCACAACCGGCTGCCCCAGTGTTCCCGGGCAGCGGCGGGACAGGGCGGCTCGGAGTGGTGGCACATTGCCACTAGGGCTAGATGAAAGGGTCCCAGCCAGCGGGGAGAGGGACAGGGATTGGGACGGGGACGTGGAGAGGGACAAGGACAGTCCTGGCAGCAGTTCTGTCAGGGCCAGCCAGAGAGAACAGAATTATCGGTCCTGGAAGCAATCCCTCCTGCACACTCAGCTTCCCGAGACTTCAGCGCGGAAAGGAAAACGGACGTAACACCCTGCTTTTGGGTTCAGACAATAGGAATTCAAGAGCGAGGAGCGGCCCGGCTGCGGGAGCCAGGAGTCCCTTCCAGCGCCCGCCCGGCCGCGCTCCGTTCAGCCCTGGCTGCCTTGGTCCCCTGTATTTCCCGGCCTTTGGGGGGTCCCGGGCCTTAAACTCAGGCCTGGCTGCACCCTGACGTCACCTGGGGTGTCCCTAACTGGAGGGCACAGGGTGGGTGGGGGGCCCTGCCAACGCACGGGGGCAGGGCCCCACCCCAGCACCCGCGGGTGCCCTGGGGCTGCCGCTGTCCCCGTGCCACCGAGTGGGACTGTGCCGGAAGGGTGTCCCGGCTGCCTCTCTACCGAGAAGGGGGCTGTCGGGGGGGCAGTGGAGCGCCCGCTCCTACGTGCCGTGGCCCTCTGTCATTTCCCGCAGGCACGGCCGGGGCTGGGTGCCTGCTTGCTCACCCGACAAGCCGCTGCACGCCGGCCGGCTCCGCGCAGAAGCCGCAGGAAACCGGGGCCCGGGGCTGCAGGCAAGCCGGGACCTGCGGCCCGCTCTCCGCACCCTGCTGCACGCCCATTGCGCCAGCGAAGCCCCCACGAGCCGAGGCGGGGGGGCGCGGGGTGCCGAGGGGGGTGGGACGGGGATCGCGGTGCTGGCGGGGAGCAGTGGCGACAACCGTGCTGACGGTGCCCTTTCCCTGCAGTGGTGCCGGCGGGAGGCAGGGCCGACGCCGCGGGCGCACATGCACGGCACGCGGCAGACACCGCACCACCCCGGAAGGGCGACGGGGCCGGCCCCGCGCCCCCCGCGCCCCGGCTCGGCGGCGGACTCGGCCTGCAGCCTGGATCCCGGGGGCGAGGAGGAGGAGGGGGGGAGCCCGGCCGCTCGCTCCCCCCCGGCCAGCGAGCGCAGCCTGGAGTTCGACTCGGGCTACTCGGAGGCGTCGGGGAGCACGTGGAGGGAAGAGGAGGTGCCCGTGCGGCGCCGGCATCTGCTGCCCTGCCAACGCGCACACCGGCTCTCCGCCGGCCCCGCCGCCCCACCGCCCGCCCCCGCCCGCCGTGTCCGCCCCAAATCCACCTCGGACGCCTGCCTGGAGCAGTGGAGGGCCCTGGAGCCCGCCGACACGCAGGACTGGACCGTAGCGCTGCTGTCGCAGAGCCGGAACCGGCAGCCTCTGGTGCTGGGCGACAACTGCTTCGCTGACCTGGTGGAGAACTGGATGGACCTGCCCGAGGTGGGCGCCGAACCGCGCCGCCGGGCCCCCGCCGAGCCCTCCCGCCGGCTGGCCAAGCCCCCCGCCTTCCTGCTCAGCCTCTCGGGCAACGTACGCCGAAAGCTGGCCAACATGGCCCGGCCCCGGGGGGCCGACGGTGCCCGGCCGGGGGCCCGCGATGCCACCAAGCGCTTCTCCTGCCCGCTGGGGCTGGGGGGACAGCCCAAGGGCGCCTGCTTCCACCAGTCCCACAGCAACATCGCCCAGCTGGCCACGGACTTCCACCGCTTCACGGCCTTGATGAACAGCCGCAGCCGCCAGCCCATCATCTGCAACGACGTTATCGGCTACATTTAGCCCTGCTGCTGCGGCCCGCACCCCCACCCTGTAAATAAACCCCCGTTTTATACGGTCTGGGCGCCGCAGCGTTTATCAAAGGGAGTGCCTGTGCCCCAGGCAGGGGCAAGCAGGGGGTTTTTGCAAGGAGGGCTATTGCAGCCTGCAGCTTTTATTGCATGGGGCAGGAGGTGCTGGCCCCTTGCTCAAGGTAGGGAGCACAGGAGAGGGGGACGGGTATCTTCAGGCTCAGCATCCTCTCCCTCGCAGATATACAGCAGCTCCAGGTCCTGCTGCTGCGGCATTCTGGCATCCTCCAAGCTCTTGGATAACCTGTAGCAGGGAAAGGGCGGTTTGGGGGCACTGGCTTGTCCCCCAAGGCTGGCTGAGTGCTCCAGGGGTGCCTTGGGCCCCTTAGGGGTATCCAACCAGGCTGGTGGGATGCAGGGGCCAGCAGCAAGGGGCCGGGCAGGGGTCCCGCCACGGGAAGTGCTGCCGGCAGGATGTTTATCCAGCAGCCGGCTGGGAGCTACAGTGCAGCTGGTGTGGCTCAGGATTGAGGCAGTGGGGGCTGGAAGCCCCCCCGGGGGCAGGATTGGGCCCTGGAGCCAGGGACCTACCTCTGTGCCTGCTGCCGGGCCCGTGTCTCTGCATCTGCCTTGCTGTCATAGAGCACAATGTCGCCACACAGGAGCATGGTCACGGTCCAGCCATATGTCCTCTGCAAGAGGTGGGTGTCAGGATCTGGCTCTGCATCCCCCAGGGTTACCTGAGTGCTGACAGCGTTGGGCTCACCTGCAGCCAGTCCAGCACCTCTTGCACCGTCATCGCCTGCCCATCTGCGCCGACTGCCCGCATCTCCAGCCGGTCCCAGCAGCTCCACTCCCGCCCGCCATACTGCCAGGGGTAGCAGCCAGCACTGGCACCCTACGTCCTGGCTGACCAGCCCCATGGGGCAGGGACTGGTGCAGCACAAGGGCTGGGGGACATCAGGGCAGGCAAATGGGCAGGGTGATGGTGGTGCAGGGGCAGTGGGGGATACAACTATGCCCCCAGCACTGCTGGGGTCCACTTCAAGGGTCAGTGTCAGTGTGGGGCCAGCACTGCCCCTAGCCCCGGGCCAGGACAGGCACACAAAAGGCCATTGAAGAGTTGCCCAGCCCCACACAATCATCTCTTCTCATGCCTGTGGCCCCACGACCCCTGCTCCAGCCCAAGGAGGCCAGTGTGGTGCCAAGCCTGGGGCCAAGCATCGGACGCGGCCCCACGCCGTCTGGCAGGGCTACAGGGCCATCTGCCCTCGCTGCGGGCAGTGCCAGCACTGCCTGCCTGGCCCCAGCCCCACTCGGGGGGGTGTTCACACCTGGTCACTCTCCCTCCTGCTTTCTGCTGCCTTCTCACCTCCGCCTTCTGCCTGCACTTATCCCACTGGTGGGAAGGGCTTAACCCCATCCTCACCAGGGCAGTAACTGTTCGGCACACAGGGAAAGCCATGGCCCAGCCCTCCACCACCAAAGTACATTGTCCTGGTCCTGGGAACCATATTCCTCTGGACAAGGCTGGCCCCCAGCATGGGTGCCCCAGGTCCCCATGGGGACATAGGTCACACCAAGCAGGCCTTGGGGACATGTGTTCCCACCACAGCCAAGCAGCTGGGTGTGAAATGTCACACCGGATGTCCTTGCCCTGGCACATGGAGGTGTTGGGTACTGCTGCAGGGACCTGAGGGCATGGCCAGACCCAGCAGCATCCTCCATCCGGGGATGATGCCAACCCAGGGCCGCTACAGCCAGGATGGCACAGGGCTGGGTGTGGGGTTTGAGGGGGCGGCGGGGCAGCCCTCAGCGGTGCTGGAGCCGGCGCAAGGCGGTGGAGTCGCCTCCCTCCCCCTCTTCCTGCCCCCGGCCCTGGGCCCCCCGGGCCAGTCTGGTTCCAATCGGCGCTTCCTGCCGTGCCGGAAGGGCTGCCTCGCACGCCATAAACCCCCAGACAAAGGGGCCTCTATAGCCCAGCCGGTCCCAATCTGGGCTGCCCCCACCCCCGCTCTCCCTCCCTGGTTCCCCACCGCCGGGACCCCCGGCCCCGCTCCCCCGGGCGGCGCTTCCCGGCCCGGTGCCAGCTGCTCTCCGGCTGCCGCAGCTGGTTTCCATAAGCCAGATGAGTGCGGCCGCAGCAGCCTCCCACCCTGGCTGTGGGGCTCAGCGTGGGGCCTGCCGTGGGGCACCCCAGAGCATCACAGCTGGGCCTGAAGCTTGGTGATGGCACACTGCTGAGGGTCAGCCAGGGGAAGGAGCTGGTTCCACACTGCCTGGCAGCATTCCCAACCCACTGCGGCACCCAGATCCATTTCTGGAGTGCTATGGCCCGGGCTGCCCTTGCTGCATGGCCACCTCCTTTCCCCTGGGTCCCTTTGGCATTGTCCCACAGCAGATGCCACTGGCCCCGTCGTGTCCCCCCCCTGCACTTTGCCGGGGGAGAGGGTCCTACCCGGTAGGTGGGGGCTGGCGGGGGCTGCACACGGAGCAGCAGGCAGGCGGCCAGGCTGATGTTGCTGTTGCGGTAGCAGCTGAGGTCCTGGCACCCCCACACCAGCTTGTAGACCTCCAGGCACGCCAGCCCGGCCACGGCTGCTGTGGTGGTGATGATGGCGGGCACGATCCGCCCAGCAATTCGCTTGCTCTGAGGACAGGAGGGTGTCAGCAACTGCCCCACACAGGACAGGGACTCCTGACCCCACAGGCTGCCCCTCTCACCGTCAGCCAGCTGGCAGGGGAGATGCCATAGTTCTCTGCACGCAGGTTGGACGCTGCTGTGATAAAGTCTATGTGGACATTGTTGTCCTGTGGGGAAGAGTGGGGGTACATCTGCATCCCATGGGGACATTAACACCCCCAGGCTGAGCAGGGCCACCTGCCTGGCTCCCCTACCTTCTCAAAGTGGATGGGCTCCATCAAGGGTGCATGTGTGTCCTCATCCCCCACCAGCTCCTGTCTCCACTGCAGCAGGTCCTGGGTAACCTCTGTCAGCTGCCTGTGATCTGAGGGCACAGGGACACCTGGCATGATACTCCTGCACTTTGGCACTGCTGGGGTGTCCCCACCTTGGTCTGGGTCATCTTGGTTGCTGAAGCAGGGACAAGAAGACAGAGCCCCACCACCACCAAGCTGGACCCAGGAACATACCTGGGAACCTCACCTGTGAGAACTTGTGCCTCTGTGGGTTCCTCTGTGAGGGGGATCTGGAGCCCTTCCTGGGGTGCAAAGGGTGGCAGGACCACATCACGGAGGACAGCCTGGATGGCCGCCCGGTCCATGCATGGTGGCACCCTGTGTACTTGGGCAAAGAGCTGGGCAGCAACCAGAACATAATCCAGGTGGGTGTCCTGTGAAGTAGAACAAGGGTGGCTATGGGGTGCCTTTCTGGGGTGGTCCCAGATAGCCAAGGGCTGGCAGCACTGCCCCAAGCTGGTAGAACTGCCTGGCTTTGCCCCAGAGTAGAGGTGGAGGAGCCTCTCCTCCTCCTGTGGCCACAGAGCATGTGCAAGCTGTCCCCTGCAGTGCCCTCACTGACTGGGGGACAGGGACAGACCCAGCCCAGGCCGCCCTGCCCAGGTAGTGGCAGATAGAGCACATCTACAGTTCAGTATTCCCTGTATGCCCAGCCCAGCCTTGGCTCTCCCTCTGCCCATACCATTCCCACATGAGACCCCACAGCTCTCCCTCCCTGCACTCACATTGTCAGGGTTGAATGTCAGTGGATGGGGACAGCTCCTGTCCCCAGCCCAGAAGGGGACACCCGGGCTGGTTTCCTGGCACAGGGAGAGAAGAGTCAGGCCCGGAGTGTGTGGCCCTGGCTGCAGTGAGGTGGCCGGTGGAGGGACGGGCGTGCCAGGGGTGCCAGCCCTATGGTGCTGGGCTCACATGCTCTGGGGGGTAGATGTGCAGCAGCTGGGCGATGGCATCGTGGTAGCAGCTCTGCCAGCGCCGGCGGGCCCAGCGCACACAGTCCCGCCAGTCCTGCGGCCGCTCCCGCAGGCTGTCCCACACCTGCTCCAGGACCTTCCCTGGCAGCTGCTGCTCCAGGAAAGCTGGGTCCCTGCAAAACCAGGCAACTGCTGATGCTGGCCCAAGAGCAATCCTGTGAGGCACCTGGGTGGGATGTGGCAGTCTGGCACCCTCTTGCCATTCCCAGCAGGGCCCTGGCAGAGTTGGAAGCTCCTCTCCCAGTGTCACTACCCCCAGAGTCCACTCACTCCATGAATTTGTTGACTTGCTCTGCAGGTAGCTGGAAAAGCCCCTCAAACTCCTCACGGGCCCACTGTGGAGGAGAAACTGAGGTGTGAGAAAAGGAGGTGTTGAGCACTGAAACCTCCCTCTTATGCCCCCAACCCAGGGGGAGGTGGAGGCTCTGGCAGGGCCAGCAGCAGTATTCAGGCTGCCAGCAGGAAGCAGCTGGGGCCATATCCTGCCCATGGCTCACCACTGGAGGGGACAAGGGGAAGGAAGACAAAGGTCCCGGTGCCTCTTCGCTGGGTGCTGTGGCTGGGGCAGCTCAGCCTACCTGCAGTGTGTGCTGGATGGTGCGGGGGAAGTGCCGCAGGGTGCAGAGGGGGAAGGTGCCATCCCTGGCGGTACTGGCTGGCCCCAGAGGCTTGGTCAGGGACGGTACCATGGCCAGCACGTTCCCCCGTGTCCCCTCCGTGCCTGAGTCCAGCAGTGGTGTGTGGCAGCACAGACAGCGTCTCTCCAAATAGGCGCCTGCAGGGAGCCAGGAGTGCTGGGGACCCAGGGAGCATGTCCAGGGGCTTGGCCCTCTTGCCCTTCCTGGCACTTACGGGCCTCTATCGTGTCCAGGGCGCTGGCAACGCCATCCAGGTGCCGGAAGAAGTTGTCCTTGTAGAGTATCTCGGTAGCAGGTCCCACCTGGTTCTGGTGAGCTGTCACTCTGACATCAGGGTTCATGCGCTGCACGGCTGCTGCGGCCACCACCGATTTTGGCTCCTGCCAGGGCAGAGGAGGGGTGGGCAGCCCTAGAGAGCTCCTGGGACAGCCAGGATGCCCTTTGGAGGGAGCTCAGCCCCTGCCTCACTGATATATCTGCTGAGCGATAAAGAAGTTGCCGATGGAGGTTGGAGAGGGCAACGGTGTCCATGTCAGTGACGATGAGCTCTCCATCCGGCCCTGCCGCCAGCCCCATCATGGCAAAGTTTTTCAGCAGCTCGCAGCCGATGGCACCAGCTCCCACCTATCAGGGCAGAGATGCTGCAGCTCTCCGTCTGCCAGCTGGATGCTCTGCAGCCTCCCAGTGCCATGGGCCCTGCCCACTCACCACCAGGTACTTCTGGTGACCCAGCTTCTCCTGGAAATTGGCCCCGAAGACGGCAATCTGACCATCGTAGCGAGAGCCTCTCTGCCGGGACAAGGAGCTGTGTGAGCACAGCAGCCACGGCACCCCAGGCAGCCGGGAGGGGCTGGACACGGGGTCTCACCGGGGCACAGTCCGTCTCTGTCAGCTGCGCAGCCCCCGGCAGCGCCAGGCACTCCAGGGCATCGAAGTACAACCACTGGTCCAGGGGCAGGAACTTCCGAGTGATGGCCTGGGGCGAGCAGCCCGTGGGCAGGCAGCCAGCGGGGAGTTCGCCCCTCTCCTGCTGCCGGACCCCCGTCCCCAGGCGGGCAGCAAGTGCCCTCTCGTGGCCACCGAACGCCAGCGGATCCCGCCCCGCTCACCTTCAGCACCTCCTGGGCCGCCAGCGCCCCGACCACGGCGGCCACGGGGCACAGGTCCCCCGCGCTCACGCTGGCGAAGGCGCGCACCATGTCCTCATCCAGGGGACCCTGCTGTGCTCCCAGGCTCCGCGCCAGCGCCAGCACCCGCTCGGCGTCCGCCTGCGGGCAGAGGGGAGCGGGCAGTCCCCGGCACGGTGCGGGGCTCGGCAGGAGCGGGACAGGGACTTACGGGTGCCCTGGGCCGCGGCAGGCGGCCCTGCTCCCTGCGGAACGCGTGAAGGGCCTGGAAGGCGGCGTGCAGGCTGCAGCTGCGTGGCAGATCCTCGGGACTTGCCACCTGGATTTTGGGCTCCTCCAGTGCCTGGCACAGGGACTTCTGCCAGCACAGCACCAGGGATTGGGTGAGTGTTTTCCTGGGGTCCGGCATGGCACAGCAGTACCCCAGCCTGGGTGGCAGCACTGTCAGGCCAAGAAGGACTTACGTGGGAACACTCCTGGGGCTGCTGCACCTGTGAAACCTGACCCCCACAGCGGTAGGGTGAGAAGGAGCTGGTGTCACTGATCTCCAGTCTGAAGGCATCTGGGGACAAGAGGAGCACAGATGTCACATCATGGTCACTGCCGAGGACCCAGTGAGTTCCTCAACCCTGAGCTAGGGCAGCCAGGATCCCCCTGGAGATCTCACCGAGCACACGCACAGGGACGGGCTCGTGGCCATTCAGCTCTGTCATCCCCTGCACGCCAGAAAACGTCACCAGGTCACCGTCACGGAAGAGATGGCCATGGCTGTTCTCTGTCCCCATGTATGTCACCACTCCTGGGTTGCCCTGAGGAGGGAAAGGCTACGTGAGAGTGGGGCACTGGACTGGGGTGGCATACAGCCAGTGAAAGAGGCAGCAATGTTTTGGAGGACCTGCAGGGCCTGCCCTGCCTCCTACCTGAGAGATGTGCTCCACAGCAGCAGACACTGGATCCCCTTCTGCTGGGTCATCAACGACAAAGCACTCCCCAAAGTCACAGAACACCTGCCTGGAGAGGACCCATGGGGTTTTGCCACAGGAAGTGCCCCACCAAGCTGCCCCAGCACTGCCATGTCCTGCCCAGGCCAAGCAGCCCTACCAGTAGGCTACTGAGGACGTGGGCTGCAGCACAGGGCTGGGGCTCTGGGGACAAGGTGACCCACAGCCAGTGCAGGGCCCCATGAGACACCTTACCCTGCCAGCCCCTTGGTGTCAGCCACGATGAAGCAGATGCCCCGGGCATGGCAGAATTCCCCAATGCGGAGCTGCTCCTCCAGCGGGGACTCAGTCAGCACCACCACCTGTGCCAGGTCTGTCAGTGAGCGCTGCCATCCCCTGTGCCGGGTCCCCCCAGTGCCGGGATGCAGGCTCACCTGGAAGGAGGCAAGGAAGGCCTCCGACAGCCCCTCGGTGTGAGCCTTGACCACCACACAGGGGTTCAGCTCAGCCAGGGCCCGCTGGGATGCCTTGGCACGGTTCTGGCCTAGATCACTCTCTCCCAGGAGGAACTGCAGAGTGGACACATGGTGGGGTACCCCATGGGACTGGGGTGCTCCACAGGCCCAGTCTGCACTGGTAAGCCTCTGCTAAGGGCCTGTGACAATGAAGGGCACCCTGTGCCTTACCAGCCTCCCCAGCTTGTGCCGGTTATTGGAAGCTCCTCACCCCAAACCCATACCTGCAAACAGAGATTTTCCCAACTGCACCTGCACCTATTACTGTGACATCCAGGCACATCCATACCTGTTACTGGGACTCCCACCTGAGTGTGCACCTGTACCAAGACCTTTCTATGTACCTGTATACATTATGGGGCCTTTCCATCCATACCTGTACCTGCTACTGGGACTGCTGTCAGTATCCATTATGGGGATTCCCATCCATACTGGTACCTGTTACTGGGACTCCCACATGAGTCTGTACCTATTACCAGGACCCTTATCAATACCTATACACATTATGGGGCCCCTCATCCATACCTGTTACTGGGGCCCCTGACTGTACCTGTTATCGGGATCCCCGCCCATATCTGCACCTACTACCGGCATTCTCACTAGTTCCTGTTACGAGATCCTCACCTGTACCTGTTACAGTGAACCTCACCCGTACCTGTCCCCAGGAGCCCCGCCCGGCCCCGCCGGTACCTGGTGGGCGCGGTCGGCGGTGCAGACCGCACCGCAGTCGTGCAGGACGACGCGCCCGGTCCCCGCCAGCACCAGCGCCGTCGCCACCTGAGCTCCGGTCCCGCGCAGCCCCGACACCAGCACCGCCGACTCGGGCAGACGCCGCGCGCCGCCGCCCAGCACATACCTGCGGGTACCGGCGGGAGCCGTCAGCGGGACCAGCACCGCTGCAGCGCGCCCTGCCCCTCCTCGATGCTGCGGCGCTGCCGTCCCCGGTGCCGGTGCCGGTGCCCGCACTCACAGCTGCCGCGAGTACCGCGGCTCCTCCTCGCTTCCCGCCATGACGGCCCCGCCCCGCCCCGGTCCCGCCCCGGGGAGGAGCCATCCCGTGAGGCCCCGCCCCCGGCGCAGGCTCGGCGGCGCGCGCGGGGCAGGCCCCGCCCCAAACCGGGGCTCGAGGCCCCGCCCCCGGTGCCGCGCTGCGGCGGCGGTGGGGACGGGCAGAGGCGCCGCCCCTCCGGCAGCCTCGCCCCCGGTACCCCGCGGCCATGGCGGCGGTGGCGGCGGGCTGGCAGCTGCCGTGGCGGGCGCTGGCCGCGTTAGGCCGGGAGCTGGCCGCCGAGTGGGCGGCACAGGACGTGCGGGCCGCGCTGTGCCAGCTGCTGCTGCTCTGGCTGGGCATCAGCCTGCTGGGCGTCCGCCTGGCCTGGCGCGCCTACGGCGGGGCGGTGGCCGCGCTCTGCTACCGGACCGGCCCCGCCGGCCGCCGCTCCCCCGGCACCGCTTCCGGGGCCTCGCCCTCCCGGCCCCGCGCGCACTCCCTGTCCCCCGCCGGCCCGGCGGGACGCAACGGCGCCGCCGAGCGGCACTGCCCGCCCCGGTGAGTCCCGACCGCTACCGGGCCCAAAACCGCCGATTCCCTCGCTGAACCCCGCGGGCCTGCCCGGCTTCCCTCCCCCGCGTCCGGCCAGCCTCTCGGAGCGCAGCCCGGTGAGCGTCCCCCCAGCTGCACCCCTGCTCCAGTACAGCCCAGTGCTCGCCTGCCCAGTACGGTCCGGATGGGGCCGCTGGGACACCGGCCCGGTTAGCCCCCAGCTGTGGCTTCTGACAAGTGCCCCCCAAGCTGTACCCCCGACCTTTGAGCCCCCCACCCCGCCCAACTGCACCCCAGACCAGTGTGCCCCAGTAAGGGCTCCCCAGCCCTGCCCACCCCAGACGGACAGGCAGGTGCCCGCCTCAGTGCCGGGGTGCTGTGCTGGCTGCTGCCCCAGCCATGCTCACGCTGCCTCTCTCTTGCAGGGATGGCCCTGCAGCAGAGCCCATGAAGACACATCGGGAGTGAGCAGCACCAGGACTGCCAGCTGGCTACTGCCAACACCAACATTAAAGTGCTGTGCCCACCTGCTGCTCCTTGTTTTGGCATTGCAAACAGAATCATAGAGGAAAGGGAAATGGGACAGGGTGTTTATTGGAGCTGGGGCACTGTGCTCACAGCATAGGCTGGCCTCACTTGGCCATGTAGTACTGGGTGGGCACAAAGGGCATCTTGGTGATGACAGCAGGATGCTGCTTCTTCCGTACCTCTACAGTGAGCTCGGTGCCAGCCCGGCTGTGCGCTGCCTCCACATAGCCCATGGCAATGTTCTTGCCCAGGCAGGGCGAGGGACATCCACTGGTCACTGTGCCTGAGATGTGAGGACACGGGGAGGTGAACGGGGCCTGGCCAGCCCCTGTCAATGCCATGGCCACAGCTTGGAGTCATGCCTGTGCCAGCCCCACTGCCCCCACCTACCCACAGGCCTGCCTTCGGGGCCCAGGATGGCCATGTGGGGCCGGATGGCGGGTCCCACCGACGTCAGCCCCACACGCCTGCGCCTTGGCTTCTCTTTCACTTGTGCCATGATGACAGCAGCACCAGGGAAGTCCATGGCCACACGCCGGCGCTTCCCTGCAGGGCAGAGATGGGTGAGGGTTGGTGATGCCTGACTGGTCCCCTTGTACCCACTGGGGACACCCTGCTGCTCTGCCTGCACCAAGGAGGAGGTGGAGGTTGACCTACCCAAAGTCCACATCAGCCCGGCCTCGGCAGGGGTGACAGTCTCATCAATGTCATTGCCGTAGAGGCAGAGCCCGGCCTCCAGGCGCAGGCTGTCCCTGGCTGCCAGCCCTGCTAGCCACACGTCGGGGACACCCAGGAGCTGCTCGGCCAGCTCCACCGCCCGCGCCGCGGGCACCGAGATCTACGGTGGGACACGGGCAGGGTCAGTGGGGCACGGCCTTCCCCTGCATTGGTACTGCAGTGGGGATGCTGGCACAGTTCCCTGGGTACCTCCACGCCATCCTCGCCGGTGTAACCACAGCGCGTGACCCGGCAGCCCGGCACGCCAAAGACGGTCGTGGTGATGCTATTCATAAAGGAGAGCTTGGCCAGGTCATCCGACAGCCCTGCCTGCAGAACCCGTGCCATGGAGGGACCTGGGGAGGCAGGTGGCTGGAAGACAGCAGTGCCCAGGGAAAGGGGGGGAGGTGGGGAGGGCAGTGACATCCACCGGGAGAGGACCCAGAGGAGGGCAGGCCCATGTGGAGCCCCCACTACCTTGCAGAGCCAGCAGCGCATTGTCTGACACCTCCAGGTGTACGTCACTGCCGGTGGCCTGCAGCTGCGCCGCTCTGTCCTGCCAGGGTGACAGAGGGCTGCTAGCACGGGGGCCAGGCCAGTGCCAGCCCCACACGTGGCCACGGCCACCTCACCCTACACAACACGGATGTCACCAAAAGGGAGAAGGACTCATTCCCACTGCGTGTCCCTCCGTCCCGCAGGGCTCAGGCAGCCCCATACCCTCAAGATGGCCAAATCCTTGTCAGCACAGGCGGCGTTGGACACCACGTAGAGGTGATCTTCTGACGTGTTTGTGACGATGAGGTCGTCCATGATGCCGCCCCTCTCGTTGGTGAGCAGCGTCAGGGTGCCCTGCGGGACACGGCCCACAGAAGCTTGGCCGGGCTGCCTGGACCTTCCCAGGGCATCTCGGGTTCCTCCGACCCCACTGGATGCCCAGTGCCCCCTACCTGTCCTGGCTTCAGCTCGGCGATGTCCCCCACTACCAGGCTCTCCATGAACCTGACGCGGTCCCGGCCGTAGACCAGGGTCTGCAAGGGGCCCGGGAGGTTGGGAGGTGGTGCGGCTACCCCCCTGCTCCAGCCCCGCACCCCGACCCCGCTACCTGCAGCATATGGGAGACGTCGAAGAGGGAGCAGTGGCGGCGGGTGTGCAGGTGTGACTGGAGGTGGCCCTGCCCGTAGTGCAGCGGAAGGGTCCAGCCGGCGAACGGCACCATCCGCCCGCCGCGGGCCCGGTGCAGGGCATCCAGCGGCGTCTGCTTCAGCCCCTCCTCCCCGGCCCCGGTGCCCCCGGCCCCGCTCCGCGGCGCCGAGCCCGGGGGGCGGCGGGGCAGCGCGGCGCGGCAGCCCGCCCGCAGCATCTTCCTCTTCCTCCTCCCTCCCGGCACGGCTCGGACCGGCCCCGGGGCGCCTGGGACATGGAGTCCGCCCGGCCCTGGCCCCGGCCCCCGCCCCCGGCCCGTCCCGCCCTCGGCACCGCCTCCCCGGGACTGCCGGCACGGCCGCCCCCATCCCCCAGACACAGGCGGGCACAGGCAGGGCCAACGTAGCAGCTTTTAGTGGTGACCCCCCAGCACCCCCGCACCCCTCGGTCCCCCCCACCCCCTCGCAGTGTCCGGGCTCTGCCCACGGGACGTGTCCAGGAGAGGCTCCCCGGGGTCTCTGGAGTGGCAGCGCTGCCCCGCTGCTGGGCAGTGCCGAGGGAGTCAGGAAAGGGGCACAGGGAGGGCTTGGGACCCCCGCGGGGTCAGTGGCCGAGGCGGGAATGCAGGAATCCACTCAGGCCCCGGGAGCATGGAAGGGGCACTTCTCCCCAGCTGGCACCAGCACCAGCGGGCTCAGGTGTAGGAAAGCAGGTTGACATCGTAGCAGCCATCCACCTGGGGAAGAGAGCGACTGTCACTGTCTGCACAGCACTGCTGGGATACTCCAGCCCCATCCTGCTGGGAGCAGGCTCTGGGAGGGCTCCTGAGCCATGTGGCAAGGCCAGAGTCCCTGTCACCAGGGGGTGGGACTCACGTCGAAGCGCCCGATGCGGGCAGCTGCCTGGCGAGCCCGGATCACCTCTGTCAGCACCCACATTTGCTGGACCTCTGTCGACACCTTCTCCGGATCAGGGAGCTCCTGGAAAGAAGTGGGCACAATGCTGTGGAGCAGGATGGCCCAGATGGGCTGGATGATCCTGGGTCTGGGCAGTGGTGTGGCTGGATGGCTTTGCCTCCCAGGGAGCCAGGCACGTGATGGTGCCCACATTCCTGACCTGCTAGTGGTTTTCCAGCATGAGGTAAGCAGGGCCCCTCTCTAGGAAAACAAACCACTGGGGACATGGGTGAGTGACCCTGATCCCTGGGTGCTGTGGTGCCGACACAGCCCACCTCTGCTGGCAGGTGGCCAGTATGAGGACAGAAAGCTGATTGCTGGCTAATAATTAAAAGCATAATTGCACAGTCCAGAGTTTCCCAACAGCCTCATTATGCGATGCTCCCTGGGCTTGGGTGCAGAATCCTGGGCACACATGCTGGTTCACCCCAGGGACCTTTAGCCAGGTGGGACATGTGGGCTCAGCAGCAGCTCTCCTGGCTGGGGCACAGCTCTCACGGGGGCACAGCTCTGTGACACTGGGCTCAGGGGTGCCTCACGCTGATGTTGGGAAGAACCAATCTCAGAGCAACCTCTGGCATCAGATACTCCTTGCCAAGGGGAACGTGATCCAAGCAATCAGCAAGGGACTAGGGTGCCCTCCCCAAACTGTCACACAGCTGGGCAAGGATTTGGAACAGCAGTTTTACTGCTGGTGCAGTGTGAGCACCGTAGCCTGGAAGCCCAGTAGCACAACTGCCCTGGCAGGTGTGGGCTGTGTGCCACCCTCCTGCAGGCAGCACTCCAGATTCAGCAGGTTCCCATGGGCGAGCCAGCTCCCATCCTGGCCCTGCTCTGCCTGGACTTTGCCCGCCATCTGCCAGGCAGATGTGGCTGGCAATCCGTAAACACGTGCCGTGGCTGTGATGCCCCTCTTCCCACATGCTGTCCTGGCTGGGCAACGTGTTCCCCAGAGCACACCCTCTGCAAAGTACTGGGAACCAGCCCTGTCCCCACACATCCCACCCACCCCTGAGCGATGCTGTGCACCCACTGCTCCCACAGTGCTGTCCCTGTCCCTGTCCCCACACATCCCACCTGCCACTGAACCATGCTGTGCATCCACTGCTCCCACAGGGATGTTCCTGTTCCTGTCCTCATTCCATTGCATCCCACCTATCAGCTGAGGGGCACTGTGCACCCACATCTCCCTTGGTGATGTTCCTGTCCCCAGACTAGAGGGCAATTAGACTTAAGCATCACCTCAAATAGCACATCCCCATGGAGATATTTTTCTTCTTAGTACTGCAAGCTACTTCCAGCACAAGACGGGTTATTTCAGGGCTCCACAGCTATTCCTGGTGAAAGCCTGGAGCCAACAAGGCAGGCATGGGCCTGGCAGCCTCCCGATGGATGCTCCTGGCTGGCACCCCCAGTGCCTCAGCAGTGATTACTCACCCCATGTAGGCTGGCCGGCTGCTCCGGAGGGGTCAGCTGGGAGAGCCAGGAGGGAAAATCCTTCTGAGGACTCTGAAAGAAATCCAGAGGGTCACACAGGGTGTTCCCAACCCTATCTCCATCCTTTACACCAGGCAGTGTGCTGGGGCTTAGAGCCCACCCCTAGTGATGATATTGCTATGGAAGTGTCACTTTACTATCCTTAAAGAGAATTTTGTAGGGAATTCTGTTTTGAGCGGCTGTTGGAGCAGTCCCTTCCCCAGCACCATTGGAGCACAAGTGGATCCCAAATGCCCCAGCAAAGGACAAGGACTTGGACTCACATCCCTGTGTGTGCTCCTCAAAGCTGGAGGGGGAAATGCCAGGTGTAGAGCTGAGGACAGTGGCTTGTCCTGGCCCCCTGCTCATGCCTGGCAGTGGGATAGCTCTGGCACCTGCTCACCTTCTGTCCAAGGGGGAAAATCTGCAGGTCCTCGATGGTGAAATGGAGCCAGACTGGGGAGGGTTGTCGCAGGATGAACCGCATTGCTGTCACCTGGTCCAGGTCACACAGCATCTGCAGGGAAGGGACAGGGAGTGTAACCACAGGGGCTGGCACTGACTGGGGGCAGCTTTTGGGGCATCCTCCCAAAACCCCCAACCCACCCCAGATGGAAGAAGTCCAAGGCAAGCATCGTCCTGTGAGGGCTGGGGGGGCTGAGTGGGGCACAGGGACTCTCGCAGCCATGGGGGTCAGCGGGACATGGGCACCAGACCCCTGGAGCGGGAGCCATCCTGGGGTGTGGGCAGAGAGGGGTGAGCACCAGAGGGAGGTGACACCGCGGTCCCATCCGGACATGCTGACCTGGTGCCGGTGGAGGCAGAAGTAGTCCTGGGAGCCCTCCTCGGTGTGCGGGCAAGGCATCAGGCACAGGTCCCGCAGACAGGTCATCCAGCGCCGGGACCCGCCGGGGCCGGGCCGCTGCACCCGCACGCTCAGGAACGCCGTGTAGAAGTTCCTGAACACGATCTCCTGCACCTGCGGGACCGGCGACCTCAGCCCCACAACGGCATCCCCCCATATCCGCACCGGCATCCTCCCCCCAGTACTGGGACGGGCACCGGCAATCCCCTCCCATACCGGGATCGGCACGTCTCCGTACCCGCACTAGCACAGCCCCATACTGGGACCTCCACGGACATCCTCCACTCTACTGGGACGTGCACTGCATCCCCAGCATCCCGCCCAGCATCGGTAACGGTGGTACGTACCCCAGCACCGGCATCCACCCGTTACCGGCATCCCCTCCGCCCCGGGACCGCCCGTCACATCTTCCTCATACCGCCCACGGCATCCCTTCTGCCCTGGCACCGCCCCCGGCTTCTCCCCATCCCCGGCATCCCCACCCACCCCGCCCCGCTGCTGCCCCCGGTATCCCCCGTCCTGCCCCGGACCGACACCACACCCGGCCCCGACTCCGCCGGCCCTGCACCGTCCCCGGCACAGCCCCTGTCTTCCCCTGGGACCACCCCGGCACAGCCTCCGCCGGCACCGCCCCCGGCATCCCCCCGTGACTCCACGGGACCACGCCGGTACCCTCCCGCCGGTACCGCGGCGGGCGCGGCCGCACTCACGTCGGCGGCAGCGCCGCGGGGGAAGCGGAGGTCGATGACGGCGACACCGGGCCTTGCGGGCTCGGCCCCCCCGGCCAGCTGGAGGGGGGCGGCGGGGCGGGGGGCGCAGGGCAGCGGGGAGCGGCCCGGCCCGGCGGGCGGACCCGGCCCCGCCGCTCCCGACATGGCGGCGCCGCGCGGCCGCCGCGCCGGGGCGGGGCCGGGCCGGGCGATGGCGTCACCGCCCGCGGCCGCCGCCAGGGGGCGCCCCCGCCCCGCCGCCGCCCCCCGTACCGGGGCCGGTCCCGGGGCCGCGCCGGCTCCGCATCCCCGCACCGGGGCCGCACCGGGGCCGCACCGGGGCCGCACCGGGGCCGCACCGGGGCCGCACCGGGACCGCACCGGGGCCGCGCCGGCTCCGCATCCCCGCACCGGGGCCGCACCGGGGCCGCACCGCGCCTCCCCCACACCGGCACCGGCAGCCCCGGGCGGGTTTATTTTTTTCTTGGCCCCGCGGTGCCGAGACCGGAGCTGGGGATTGAGCACAACCCCGCTGCCCTCCCCGGGGCCACCCCGGTGCCCGGGCAGCGCCGTTCCCGAGTGAAGCGGCGGGTCCGGCCCCGGTGTGCGGGGTCAGCCCCTCCACCCGGGGCGCACACGGGCAAATCCCAGCTGGGGATGCCGGGGCTCGGAGCAGAGGGGATAGGGCCGGTACCGGTACCGTGGCGGGTCCCCCGGGGCCGGCCCGAGGGGCTGAGCCCGTACAAACTGCTGGCAGCCGCACACCGGTTTTTAAGTCTTTTTTTTTTTTAATAAAACAATCGGAGTCTGTATCAAAAATTTAGTAAAAAATTAGATTTGAGAGTTCACCGATTTTTTTTTTTTTAACTATTAACTATTCCTGGCGCTCTTTTTTATTTTCTTTTTCTTTTTATTTTTTTTTTTAAACTTTTTTATCTTTTCCAACAGTGTCCAGGCTGGAGTGCCAGTGTGAGACCAGCGAGGCCATTCCTGCATAGTCCCAAGGAGCAGCCGGGACAGAGAACACACCCTACTCTCGTCAAAACACCCCACGGGGAGGGGGTTTTGCTTCAAATCGACCCCCCCCAACTCTGGTGCTCGCTGGGAAGCAGAGAAGTTCGTCGTGGCACAGGGCTCAGCTCATCCTTCTGTGAGCACTCCCTGGTACAGCGATGCACCCCCTGCTCAGCCATGGGCACCCCAGGCCAGGCTGACCCAACTCATGACTGCTTTATGATGTGTGAGAAAGATAGGATTTCTTTGATTAAAAATAAAATAAAAATGATAAAAGAATCAAACCCCAAACCAAGAAGCTGATCCACCCCAAGAGGAGGAGGAGGAGGAGGCTGGCTGGCCCCGCTGACCAGCCCGTGGAGCTTGCCTGCAGCACAGCACTGCCCTCCCCCTCCCCAAAAACTACACATCCCACTTTAGGTAAACAGCAGATTAAATGTAAAAACTTAAACCATCGACTTCAGAAAGTCCCTTGAATTTAATTATTTTTAGGCTACCTTTCATGTTACGTCCTGTAGCTAGACACACGTGAATAGAAAAAACAGTACAGTTAGTGTTAAAGGCAAACAGCGGAGACCCAGAGTGCTACCCCAGTGCTGCCTGCTCCTCCCGACCCGGCCCGACCCCCCTCCCTGCCCAAGCCCAGCCGCCGGGAAGGCGTCTTTGAGCCGAGAATTCTTTTCTATGAATAAAATAAAACCAAAGCTTGTTAGGCAAAAATAAAACAAGTGTCCCCCCGAGTCCCGCGAGCGCTCCGGTGCGGTGGGCGCAGCCGGGGAGAGCCTGCTGGGGAGCGGGCTGGGCTTTCGTGTTCCCGGCTGGCGAGGGGGCTGCCGGCCCACAGACAGCACCGGTGTGGAGCTGGAGGCCCCTTCTCCCCCGAGAGCCTCCTGTTTGTTAAGGGGGGACGTAGGGCGGTGGGGACCTGTACGGGGTCATGTTCTTCGGGCGGGAGCCTTTCCCCTCCATGGGTGCAGTGAAGGGGGGGGGAGGCTGGTAGGGCGGCGCGTTGGGGTCCTCGTCCCGCAGTGGAGTGTACTCCCCGATGGTGTCCTGGTTGAGCGGCGTGGTCTCCGGCATGCTCTGGTTGGGGTACTCTGGAGGGGGCAGTGGGGCTTTCTCCTCCTGGAGGATGAGGGGCATGCTGGAGGATGGTGGGGGCTTGGAGTCGTCCAGCTCGTCGGCGAAGATGATGGGCACGCCTTTCTTTATGAAGGTGGCCTGGTCTTCGATGGTCAGCTTGCCTTTCCTCTTCTTGCGGTAGCAGATCATGGCGATGATGCCAGCCACGAGGAGGATGGCGGCCACCACCACGGCAGGGATGACAGTGTGCAGGTACACATCGTCCTCGCTGCTCTTCTCGGGGTCTTTGCCTGCTGCCACCGTTGGCGTTGCCTCTGAGATCACCCTGCCATCCTTGGTCACGGGGACAAACTGGATGTGCCTGCAGCTGCCAGAACCAACCACAGACACATTCAAAGGCTTGAACTCGGGCTGCAGGACATTGGAGAAAGCTGGGCTCGGCCTGCCAGAGTCATCAGCAATTTTTTTGCTCAAAGTCCGGATCTGCTCCCGAGGACAAGGCTCCAGTGGCAGTGTGTTGTTGGTCCACTCCACTACGATGGAGCCTTTAGCAATGTCCTGCACCGTGATTGTGCTGCTGTTCCTGTCGCCAAATGCCAGAGCCAGCTTCTTCACCAGCATGATCTTCTTATGGATGTCATTCACCACTGCATTATGGTCCCCTTCCAGCCTGGCCTTGAACTTCACCGGAGACTTGTCCCCATGTGGGCGTTTGTGGACATGGATTTCAAAAGCATCCACAGCAAAAAGCCCGCCCTTGTCAGTGGCATACATGAAATACTCGTGCTTCCCAATGTGGTTGTGGTCAGGCATGCCATACATGAGCTGGCTGGTGCTGTTGAACTGCACCCATGAATTCTCCTCGATCATCTGCTGCTCCTTCAGCTTCAAGGTCAGCTGCAGCTTGTCCGTGGTGGTGTCTTCCTTGTCGTAGAAGGTGTCTGATGGTATCTTAACCTCGAAGTATGTGCCCTCCCACGCATCGACCCTGTCGATGTGGTTCGTCAGCTTGGGTGGCTCGTTGGGCTCCCAGGGCCGGGGCAGCCCGCTGGCCGTGGTGCGCACGCGGGACGGCGGAGATGCCGTTGTCAGCTTGGAGATGGGTGATCTGGTTGAGCTGGGAGGCTTTGTTGGACGCGGCGTTTTGGGCCTTCGAGTAGGCCTTCGTGTTATTGCTGTGGAGGAATCTGTCGTGGACGGTGTGGCTGGCTTCAGGGTGGAGACTCTCGGTTTCTTGGTGGTAGTTGAGGGCGGTGTGATCACTGCCGTGGGCTCTATGTACCCAGGCATCGTGGGGCGAATCGGCACGGAGGCCGTGCCCGTGCCTTCCGTTACCCTGGTTGGCTGGATTGGCCCCAGGGTGGGCGTCTGGACAATGGGGCCTCTGGTTCTGATAGTGACTGTTGGCTTCCTCGGCAATGGAATGGGCTCCCGGACAGGGGGTGCCGTTGTCTCTGTGGGAGGCGCGATGGCGGGCGATGTTGGGGTGGGGACAATCCTGGTGGGTGGCTCTTGTGCAGCAGTGGTGGGCGGCCCAATGGCAGTCAAAGGCGTAGGGGTGGCGTTGATCTGCCGCCGCATCCTCTTTGGGAGGTGAGGTTTCTTGTTAGCAATGTGCCAGCCAACAACCGGGTAGCCAAGGCGGGCAGACATGGTTCCTTCCTTAGCTGGGGCCTCCACCTTGCTGATGTTGGGGACACTGTTTTGGCTCAGGGAACATCCCAATTTCCATGAGAGTAAGGCCCCATTTTCCACCACCTTCTTTGCATTTCCTGGTCCAGCCATGAAGGCCGACATGTCAAAGAGTCTGTTATTTACAACAGGAACCAACTTCATGTTGTGAAGTTCCACCTCTGAAAAGCTTCTCATTCTGTTTAAGAGTTCAATCCTCTGCTTTGGTGTCATTTTTGTTAAGTCAGCATCCAAAATGACAGTCAGGATAGTGACTGGCTCTTCCGAGCCACACACGAAGGGCGCTGTGTCACTCGTGTCTTGGACGGCCACTCGCACCGACTGAGGCTCGTTGTGGTCCTCTTGGTGGACTTCAACGGAGAAGACATTTGTGGTCTGTGGGACATAGCTCCCATTTGGGAAGGGCTGCAGAGTGGTCACCGAGATGTAGTGGACACCCTTGTCTGTGTCAAGGGGCAGCCCTTCCAGGGAGCTGCTCTCTGCATTCCAGTGCAACCAAGAAGGTAAGGAGTCCTTCCCAGCTTCGGAGATCTAACAAACAAACAAACAAAAAAAGCTTTTAGAAGTACAGCATGAGGACAGCTTCTATCAGCAGTAACGCTTAATTTCAAGGATTAAAGAAAAAATCAAAAGTGTAACAACTAGGGAAAGAACATCCTGACCAGAGCATGGCAGCCTTTGTCTCCTCCTCCACATGATGGCAAGGATGAGTTCTGCAGGGTGCAGACCCAAAGGGCTTAAGGAGCCACAAGAGGTCATAAAGTCCCACAAGGCCCCCTCGCCTGCAAGTGCTCCAACACTTGCTGTGCAACTGCCAAGCACAAGTGGTTTATTTTCTCTGAGGGCAGACCGGGAGTTTACATCATGGGGACAGTGACAAAGCTGAGAGTGAAGTTATGCTGTTCAGCAGAGCTGATCCAAAAACTGCCCTCTTCCCACCCCTTCCTCTCCCAGCTTGGCCATCTTGCTCCTTTCCTCACCCCATCACACCCGGCCCACCCTACATACATCAAGTGCACTTCTCCAGCAGCTCAGCAGAACATGTATTTTCTCTACTTATTTTCAGCTTGTCCCACTGTCCCCAAAGCCAGGATGACCCAGAGGGGCCAGAAGCTGGCCAACGATGGTTCTGAGTCCTTGGCCTGGCTGGAGCACACCAGCTCTCAACAAGCAGCACGAAATCCTGAGAGCTACCTGGTGTTGTCCTGCTCTGCCAGAGGAACAGCAGCCAAGGCTGAAGGAAGGGAGCAAACCCAATGTAATGGCCAGTGTGGGCAGGCAGGGATGTGGCACTTGGGCTGATGAATTGCTGGACATGACACAGGATAGCATTCCAGCCTGGCTTCACCCCCGGGCTAGCTAAAAATGAAGGACTTCACTTTCACATAACTTGCTGCTGCAAGGGAAGGCTTTGTTTCAGAGCACAGGCACCTCAGGACTCCAACACACTCTTTGCTACCTCTTCCAGACTGGGGGACTTAGTCTCCTGCCCTGGGTTGTAGCTGAGGGTGGGTGCAAACCCCCAAGCCCCCCCAGTTGCTGGCAGCTGAGATCCTCTGCTCTAAGCCGCTCGCGGATCACGCGGCGGAGCCGCTTGGGCTGTGCGGTGGAAGGGGTGAGGCTGCCAGCTCGGTGGGCTGTGACATTTCCCGGGGCTCTAGGTACTCCAGAGTGAGTAACCTGAGCTTCATCACCTCCCAGGCCCGGAGGCGTTTGGCAAGTGCGCTGGCTGGACTTTCCAGAACTCCACGGGGCATCTCCCCCTGGCACTCAGAGCAAACAGGATGCTCTGGGGCTCATGGAGACACATTTAGCAGCCTGGTCCATGGTCTGGGCTCACTGCAGTCCAACACAGAGCCAGGTTCTAGCTCTCTTTCTGAAAGGGTGCTTTGGTTCCCTGCAGTTCTGTAAAGCTTATACATATTTCATCATTTACCCAGATGCAAAGCTGGGAGAGGAGCTTTGCAAGGAAACCTGCCTGGCAGGAGCATTCCTGCACCCAGCAGCAGGTGCAAAGCTGGGGCTGGACTAGCCAGACAGTCCTGCTGGGGAAAGCCCCTGGATGGACAAGGAAGGATGCCTGATGCTGCAGGGCTGGGCACACTGTGAGTCCTGGGCACCACTCCCACTCCCTGGCTGCAGGCAGGATCCAGACAGCACCCTGGGAATCACCCCCACACTGTGGGTTTCAGCACATGGAAGGGTCTGGATGCACAGCTCTGCCAGCATAACACAGGACCCAAAAATCTTTTGGCAAGAGCAGCAGAAATAAAGCTTTTGTGCAAGAGCTGCAGAGGGCTTCAGCCAGCCTGGACAAGCTGGAGAGTACATCATGAGCCACATGCTGGATACAGCTTATAGAGCAGAGTTTAAAGCTCTCAGGACAGCTTTAGTTAACTCCTCACCAGCAATATGCCAGAGCAGAGAATTCAGATTCCTGCTTACAACAGCTGGAGGAAGCTGTCCCAAGGGCCCTGTACCTCAATATATGCAACCATGCACCAGCATGTGAGCATCCTTCCCCTAGGCCTTGTTGTGTACCCACGTGTCTGGCAGAGGAGGGGTTTTGGCAGGGCTGTGGCTGCATTCACTCCTCCTCCACTGCAAGAACAGGAGCTGCTTTTAGCCCAGCCATCCCAAAGGAAAGGCAGCCCTTCACCTGAGCTGGGCACAGGGAGCCAAGCCTCGCTCCTGCACGAACAAAGGAACGAATTGTCCTTCCTTGGCATTTCTTCTGCCAAAAGAGAACAAAGGCAGGGTCTGCTCCTGCCCAGCCAGAAGCACTGACCTGCCCCCATCTTCCTTTAAAAAAGTGGCATTTTGTCACACCCTCTAAAAACTGAGATGCCAGGACAATGCTCGGTGCAATAAAGCATTTACAGTAGCAGGAGCTGGATGGTTCCACTCTTTATCCTCTTGTGCCAAAATTAGCCACTAACCTGCCCACTGTGGAGGAGGGCTGGGCTGGGCACACATAAGGAACAGAAACATAGGGAGTCAGGACAAAGCCACAGCATTAGTGAGGCTTACACAATCAAGAAGAATAAAAACTTTAATAGCGAGTGGTTAAATTCACTCTGAGTGTGTAATTTTAGGCTACATTTGGAACAAATCTTCCCCTTCTGTGCACTCTGCAAAAGCCCTTAATTACAGGATCACACACTCCACACAGCTTTCCTGAGAGTTGGAGTTTTGTGCTGCTGCCTCCTCCCTGGGCACTGGCATGACTTGAGGAGAAGACCTACAAGCAGCAGTATTTTACCAAGTCTCATGTCACAAGGTGATTCTTCCTTCAGTCATCACTGCTCAAACTTCTGACAGCCAAACTCATTTCAGAAAGGTGACTGACCTCACACGCAGAAATGACAGCAAGGGAGGCACCAGCCAGTCTGAATATTCCTGCTTGGAAAACCATTTTTAACCTAAGTTTACATGTAGGGCCCATGCTAGAAAAGGAAACTGCAGCCAGACAGATTCACACCAAAAACTAGGCTCTCCTGAAAAACAAAAACAGGCTAAGCAATCACTGACTGGCATGACTTGTTCTAGCAGGGATGTGACAGTTGCAAAACATTTATAAACCCACTTAAACTTGATTTAAAAAGAGCCGAGCTAGTTCAGCTGTGTTCAGCCTGTGAGGAGATGTGGACTGTTTCTAAAGGCTCTGCAAGAGATGATTAAGAAAATCAAATTTATGTGGATTACTCCTATGAAGCCTGTGCCTCCCCTGGGAAATCTTTGAGAAAGCAACAAGTCACAAGCATTTGATGTCTCTGCACTGCTTTAAACACAGCTACTGACCTGTTAGCAGAAATCATCCATGTTCATGTGAGAAATGAAGAGCCCAGAAAGATTAGAGTAGATAAATAAAGTTGTTAGCATGATGGATAAAAATACTTGCTCCTAAAGAAATGCTGACCAGCAGAGGCCTTGGCGTGGGTCTGTCCTGTCCACGTCACTGCTGTGTTTGCAGTGGTGTGGACTGTGAGGAGGGAGACCTGGACTCTGTTCTAGCAATGATTCTTTCAAATATTGCTTCAAAGGGTATTTGTTAAGGCTACACACAGTTAATGATTTGGGATCTCTAGTTTTCATGTTAAAAGTTTCCCACTTTTCTGTGTATGCAATAAGTATCAGCCTTAAGTCCTGCCATTTCCCTCAGGGGGTCTGGTTTCAAAATAACTCTTCCCTTGCCCAAGTTTAAAAAAAAAAGGCTTTGTTTTCCCATTATTTGAGATAATTATAAATGAATGCTCATTGGCTAAAGATTACACAAGCCTCGCAGTGTATCGAATGCCATTAAAAAATAAGCCATGAGAGTGATATAAAATACATACAGTGAGCGGTCTGGCTGGTTTTGAAGACCTTGTTCACAAAATCCTTTCAGATAGACATGGCCTGTTATTTTTAGGCCAGCCAAAAGCAGTCAGCTCATGAAAGAAGATAGCTCAGTTTGACTTGTTTTTTTAAACTCGGATCTTAAAGCCCTGTAGCCAACAAGACAAAGATAAGCAAAGGCGCAGTGAGCAAAACTGCTGCCTTGAGGGAATTCAGGCAAAAACTGCATTCTTGCTTACTAGAGTGCCCTTTAATCCTCCAGGTATTTAGTCCTGCTCCTCCTTCTGATGACTCCCCTGAAAAGGAGGCAGCGAGCCCTTTGCCAGGAGACAGGTACCACAGGATCCTGCCACAGGACTCCACTATGGCACACCCCTAGGAAATCTTCCCAGTCCTGGAAGTATCCAATGGGATCTCCCCTGTTTGTGCTGACAGACCTTTGCACAGGCAGCAGCAGCTGGGAGTCGGCTCCTTTCAAATCAGTCCTGAAAACCCCTGATGACTGCTTTTGGGCAGAGTCAGCATGGACAGTCCTGCAGCTTTGCCAGATCTCCCACTGCCCCCTTCCCCTCCCTGTGTCCAGCAGCTGCTGAGAGACAGACGGATTTATCTGGGGTGTAATTACTGATGACAATTTACTGTAGCCAGACTCCTTCAGCATCACCCCAACACACATGGCCAGCAATGAGGAATATCCCAGCTGGGCCCTCCAGAAGGTGAGCTGAGCTGAGCTGAGCTGTGCCCAACCGACTGACCCAGCCAGTGTCACACCAAGTCTGCAGGCTCAGGCTTCTGCAAGCAATTAACCAGCAGGCAGGGGAAGAAAATGGAAATTCAAATGCAATTCAAATGCAAATATAACTGCAGAGAAAGAGTCAAGCCTAAGCTGTTTGCCTAAGCCCAAGCTTCATCTTAAACCCCCTGCTAATGCTGCAGCATGGGCAGTGCTGGCAGCAGAAGCAACAGGCAGCCTCAGCCCTGAATCAGATCTATGGGCAGGTAGATTCTCATTGCCTTGTCCCACAGAAGCTGGGGGAGGGATGCTGGCTTCAGATCCACCCCAGTGCTGCTGGAACTGTAGGCACTGCAACAAGCACAGCCAGACTGGAGTCAGGAGGTGGTGGGCACAGGGCCTGCAGGATCTAGCTCAGAGGATGGAGTCCTTGTTTTGGGAGGCAGGCTCTGCCTGTGGA